AGTGTTTTTCTCATACTTAAACAATAAGAGGAAAGTATAATACAATTGTAATGCTGCTCAACTGTGTTGAGTTGCAATATGACACAGCAACGTAGGGGTGCCCAGAAGGGGGTTTCATGGCGAAAGTTGCGCCATTAAAATCTTTGATGGGGGCGCATTTCTAAGAGGCTGTGAATTTTCGGAGTGAAAAGCTTTAAAACAGAGAACTAGGAGGAAAACCTGGGATAGGCCACAGCAAGTGTAATTGTATATGATCTACGATTTGCCTTATCCTACTTTGCATTGTTTTAAAGAAGAGAAGAAATAACACAATTTTTGGAGAGGAGAGGAATCGTTCATGCGCAGTTGACCTTGAGGGGAACGGGTACCTCTGCAGCATAATGATCAGTCTAATCGATAATATTTAATAAAAGAACACAAAAAGGATAAAGTTTTATCCTTATAGACTATGGATAAAGTATCTAATTAGGATAAATTATTTATTAATTGTTTTCTTTTTCATCTTGTCTTCTTCCTTCTCATTGCTTTCCGTAGATTCCATAAAGCTATAGCCAGAATTAATCTAGATGATGGTGCAGGATTTCCAAGGAGTTCAAAAAAATACATTCCGCCGTACGCTGCAGCTGTTTCTTTTAACACTCGGCTTTTTCAAAAAATTAGTTGTTGAATGTGAAATTTTGTCTCTATTTCCCAAAAATTCACTCTCACTAAAGTCCTTTCTATATTTTTTCTGTAGGTACAGATATCTTTATATATTTTCTCCTTCTCTATTTGTATTTTAAGATCTTGATCCTCATCGTTAAATTCAAATATAATTGTAGAATCATCTATCAAAGCCTTCGAGAGTAATTTAAAACAAAAATAATGAAAAAGAAGCCCTCCAGTACTGCTGATATCTAATACTTTTTTAGATGTTAATACATAATAGAATAGTTTTATCGATTCGTGTCATAACGTATCTCACTTGAAGGCAATTACTACGAAAGTTGTAAATGACTAGAGTAGAGGTAATTAAGTATAATTAGCCACAACTAAGGCGTTAGTTGTCAACGATACTGTTATCGTAACGATAGCACCTAATCTCTAATCTTAATGACATTGAATTAATCGGTACACAATGTCATGTTACAATGTGCTGCTCAGTTTGTGTAAACATGTTCCCATATTTATCGTAACTATGTTTATAATTAAATGCCATCTACCTTTTCAAAATTTCTTTTCTAAAAGGTAGAGTACGACTAGAAAACAGCTCAAGTATTAAAGTTAAAACAATTAATTTATGGCATAATGAATATAATGCTTACATA